TCTTCTAAATATATTTTGTAACCTGTCATTTTGACAGTGAAGCGGCTACTACGTATATCACGGGAGTAGTTTTGTCATTTAATTTAAAGTAAATAAAATGTCTGCATCATATTCAGGTTCAATTTAATGTTGTTAATAAATTTTTCCTGCAAGTTGTTGTATATATTGCATTTATTATTTGACGAGTTTCCTTGCTAGTGTTGTAAGCTTGGCCTCGTGGACTGACAAACTGTGATGCGTGTGTGACTGTTGACCGTTTGACTGGCTTTGCTCACGGTCGCCAACACAAACACACCAAATCAAGATGATCGTTTTTGAGGGACCCATTTAGCCTTAGTTCGTTTAAAGATCTGAAGTGAATATTGACAGAAAAAAAACGCAACTCGTCTTGTCTTTAAATACCGCGTGTCCCATTTATCTGATCTTTTTTTTTATATAAATGTAATACATTAACCTGCCTCTGCTTATGGTTAATGGATGTAAGAATTGGCGAAGATATATATCATTTGCACAGCTGTTAGACCTAGGAGCCGAACCTATGTAAATTATAATGGAATATAGGAAATTACTCCAAGCTTCACTATCTGAGTTATATTGTTTTCGAATGTTTTGAAGTGCAGACATGATCATGTGGGGGAAATTAATTATTTTTTTTTCATTTCGTATACTTGGACACAAAATTATCACATCACAGCCCGTTCTCATGTGGTTTCCCAACGTCAAGAAATTGTCGTACTAAAGTGAACTTATCCTAACCTACCAGAGGACCCAAAACAGAAAACGGAACAGTATGACAATTTCGCCAGTCACTTTCATTTTTTAGTATGACGATTTTTGGCCTTAGATAAAGTATACGTCAAAATACGACGCTCTATTAGGAGGGCGGGTTCATCAACTGGAACAGAGTGGACGCAATATTTTTTTCACATTAACTGGAACGCAATAAAGGTGACATTGTTTCACATCAATTGAAATACAATGGAGGCAAACAAATTTTCACGTCAACCAGAATGCAATAGAGGCAACATTGTCTCACGTCAACTGAAACACGATGGAGACAGCATTGTATCACATCAACTGAAGCACAGTGTAGGCAAAATTATCATATCAACTGAAGCACAATGTAAGCAAAATTGTCACATCAACTGAAACCAAATAGAGTCAACATTGTGACAGATTCAACTGAATGAATCTTCTTATCCATTTCAAAGAACGATGAATTCCTTTCGTGGTAACCAAAAATAGAATAGAATTTCTTTGGTGGAGCGAAATTTCGTGCATTATCTGAAGGGAGGATCTTCCTGTGTAAGAAAGTGTCGTCCAGCGCAACATTCTCAAAATATGTGTCTTTATGCACTCACTTGAGAGTTTCATCCTCATAGACCAGCGTTACTTAACCTTTTCTGACCTCAGTACCCTTGTAGTAAGGTGTCACGCTCCTGCAACCCGTCTTACATCTGGTTACTGGAGTTATGCAACACTGATACAATGATAAAGTAAACTTAAGTGCTGCTTAACAATTTTATCTTCCTCATTCTTCAAAAATTACACGTTAAAGATGCCATTACTAAGCAAAACTAATATGGAAAAGAAAAGGATAAAAAGTTAAGAGCGTGGATAACATTCCTGAAAACATAGAAAAATGGGTATTCAAATGTGCACTCATCAATGTGACTTTTTTTGTTGATGTTGCTTTTGTTCAACAAGTTTCTGGTATGAAGGCATCGTGGTGGTGAGAAATACCTTAGTGTCATGAACCCTCCCCCATCTTGAAGGTTATTACGGGCGATTGTTTAAATCTGCACCATAATGGAGGATGTCTTTTCACACAAATAGGTCGTTGGAAAGCGGATTAAGCATCTCCAGCGCTGCTCTCGAAATTTGTTCGTACGCTACCATCTGTTTACACCAGAAGTCAGACACCAGCAGTGATTGGATTATTGTCTGACAATCCTGGTCCGCCTGCAGATCGATGGGCTCCTCCTTCAAGTTGCCAGAAAAGTCTGATTAATCCATTCGGGATATGCCTGAACCTTGGGGAAATACCGTGTCATGGTAGCCTCAAGGTATTGAGATTAGTGACGACATTTTCTTCATGCGTGAAAATTATTTTCCCCTCAGCTTCTCACCCAAGAGTAGAAATCTTCCCACATTCCTTCGTTGGATTCGACGCTTCCAGAGGGAAATCTCCGTCTCCTTCCCTCTCTGCACAGACAAGACTATTAGCATTTCTACCTTGCATAGACAAGCTGAAGTCATGCAAGTGAACGAAGATGTCTGCCAGATAGGAAAGCGAGAGGAGGAACATTTCGCCTTCAAATTTTTTCAGCATACTTATTGTGATGCTCTCTGAGGAACACTGCAATTTCAGCATAAAGCTCTGCTATGTGGGTCAGGAGTCCCCCACGTGAGAGACACCTCCTGCTGAGTGCAAGAGAAGGAGGCGATGCTCCCTCCCTCACTCCTCACAAAGCAACTTGAACAATTAGTAGATTAAGGGACGACCCCGGATGAAATTTATGACCTGAACACAAAGACGTAAGTTCTTTAAGGTGAGACGATTGCCTTTGCTGCCAATGCATAGAATTGGAAAACACAGAGGTGCAAGACGGTATCTCGTACTCATTCTTTGACCAAAGCAGTGAAGCCAAACCTGCACCTCTATCATAGGTGAGGCACCATGTATACAGACACACCCTACCTACCTACATTCTCTCACTTAATATGATGCTTCAACAGCAGTCAACTGATTGTGTATATCAGGTATATCAAGGATGGTGAAATTAAAGATGATTTCCTGTTTTGCAAGGCTTTGCAAGCATCAAAGAAGGAAGCAGATATAGTCAGAGTTTTGGACGAGTCTGACGTCTGATGCAAGCAGTTGGTAGCATAGCCTGAAATGGCAAGAGCAGCGCTCGAAGTGATTATTCTCTTTCCATCGACCTATTAGCGTGAGAAGGCAGTCTCCACCACGCTGCAGATCAATACAATAGCTCTGAACCACCCTCAAGATGGGCTGGTCCATGACATAAGGGGTGGCCCTCGCCAACACTAAGCCTCGAGCCGAGAAACTTGTCACACACACAACGGCTACAGCAAAAATCACACTGATAAGTGTACGTTTGAATGCCTCATTTTCTCTGATAAAGTTTATCCAAGCTCCTAACATGTTGGCCTTTTTTTATATCGGCTTTGCTTAGTACGGACATCTTGAATGTATAAATTTTGAGGAATAAGCAAAATGGATTGTAAATCATTATTTATCTTAAGTTTACTTTAACTTTGTGTAGAAGAGCAAATATAATCCCACGAACCAGCTGTAAAGGTGTGTTTGACTGATGTACTAGACGGGTGTTGAGGTTGGAAAAGGTTAAGAAATGCTGTACCACACCCTTCTCAACACAAGACCCTCCTTCGCACCAATTAGACACAATACACCTAATGACCACCATCGTGGGCACCTCACTGACACCCTGTAACACTCACACTGCGGCATTCTGGCCAGTGGACACCAGAGAGACGCCTTACACTCTATTGTAAACCAAAACACATATTACGTAATTCTGAACATCAGTGTGGCATACTACACCCACATGGACACCAGTAAGTGTCCATGTGGGTGCCCATGTCCATGTGGTTACACTCCTAGTCACCAAGAACCTTAAACTCACCTGGGCTTCAACTTTAACACCTTCCAGGACGCCCACTATATCCTTGTGAAGAATTCTTCTTCATAAACACGAATAAGACACACTACACCCTCCTGGCTACTAGTAAGGCATGTTACATCATCATAAGCACAATGCACACTCCTGAGCATATTTTAATACTTCTAGGACACCCTACATCTTCTTGGAGCATGTAAAGCCCACTACACCCTCTTGGATACCAGTAAGACACATTACAACTCCTAGACATGTATATGGCATGCATACATATTCTGGAGTTGTGTGGCATACAAATCCCTTCTGGACACGATAAAAATACATAACACCCTTCCTGGACTCGAGTATACTATGGTTGCAACACATCCAGATGGTTACCCTCCTGAACACCAGAAGGAGGCATTATGTCTCTTGAATACCTTCCTCAATAATATTATGACACATTACGCCCTTTTGGATATCAGTAAGGTACATTTCACCGTCCAGAACTCCAGTTAGGCCCCCTTCAGACTCCTTGGCACCAGGAAGACACATTTCGCCATCCTGGACACCGGCAAGGATCACTTCAATCTTCTGGACACCAGTATGGAATGCTATACTTCCCTGGACACTATACACTCATTGATACTAGTAAGGCACACTACACCCTCAAGAACACTAGTAGACACACTACACTCTCCTTTACAGTTGTAAGACACATTACATCCTCATGGACATTAGTAACTCAGGATACACTCTCCTGGACACTATTAACAAACAGTATATAATCCTGAACAACAGTAAAACACATTATTCTCTCTTGGACAGTAGTAAGACACACCGCACCCTTCTGTACACTAGTATGACACACTACTCTCCCCCATAACATGACAAGTAAATTACTTGGAGACCAGTAAGACACATTACAACCTCCCCTCCCCCCCCTCACCCCTCCCAACCTTCCAAGACACATTAGGGGCCACTACACCTTCCTGGTCGCCAGTACAACCTACTTCCCCCTCGTGTACACACGCATGATACACTGCCCACACCTGGAGACCAGCATGGAACACTTCACTCTCCTGGACCCCGCTCCTGAAGCTGGCGTACTGTAGAACTTAGACACGCGCTGCTTTACCTCGAGGCGAACAGCTCACCTCAAAAGTGTTCCTCTCAGAGGTCAACACTCACGAGAGATTATGACCACATCAGCATTTTTGCATTCCATTCCTACATAAAACAAATCGAGACCATTAATCTGGATTTGTTGTACTGGGGTGTCAGAGATTCTAACGTCTTGCCTCAGACATTCATAATGTTTTCATGAAGGTTCGCTTATTTCACATCTATGCTTACCGTGTGGTAGTTTGCAATTTTCTCAGCATAATTATTCACCATCAAGAGAGATATCGCACTTGAGAGGTGCCACTAGAGTGTGACATATAGAGCGTAATAACAAGAGGCGAGAAAGATCCTCCTCCTCTCTAAGGTGGAGCTCGTAGGCTGTGTTTCACAACGACCTGAGGCAGCACGCTTGCACCTATCCTGCTCACCGCTCAGACATGGCCCTTGCTCTCACACATAGCCCCCGGCACAACAGGTGAGGCCAACCGCCTCATCGACACTGAGCGGCGCACCTCCACGCCGCCACCACCGCCGCCCTGGGAAGCAGGGAGGGTGCAGAACAGCCCGACCCTCCTTGCCTCCCTCCAACGCCGACGCCAGCCTGCGTATGTCGGCTTTAGTAAGGCACACTGGACGGTCTTCGATTTTCAGTAGTGGTATGGAGGCTTCTGACGGGTCGTTCAACACTTGTTATGTGCACTTCCTCCCTAAATGAACTTATCTAGAGATAAATTGGATTTAATATATATATATATATTAAATCCAATTTATCTCTTTATAATTTATATATATACTTAAACTATTTTTAAAGTCATTTTAAGTGATAATAGCCTGTGTATCCCTTCTTCGAGGCTGAGGATTGCTACAAACACAACCAGAAGGTCGTATACAGAATATATATATATATATATATATATATATATATATATATATATATATATATATATATATGTAATATATATATATATATGTAATATATATATATATATATATATTATATACATATATATATATATATATATATATATATATATATATTATATATATATATATATATATATATATATATATATATATATATATATATATATATATATATATATATATATATTATATACATATATATATATATAACTGAAAACATTCAGGCTTGTTCGCATATCTATATATATATATATATATATATATATATATATATATATATATATATATATATATATGACAATCACGAAGGAAAACACATCCACACATCGAAAGGTCAAACTATATATAGGTCAAACAGCCAAATATTTGAAATTTAGAATTTCGAAGCATAAGTATTCTGTGTTTGTGAACCAGACATTGTTTTTGCATCTCATCTCATTCCTCCCTATATATCCACCACTGACTAGTAATATTCTTTAACTATTGAGTTTATTACCTTTCAGCAGCACTTGTAATCAAGTCTGAGTCTGTGTATGGCTACTGTAATGTGTGCGGATATCTTTTTGCCAGGCTTGAAAGAGTAGCACCCAGTGGCTTGTTCGTTCCACATCGCAGTGGATCTTCTTTCCGTTACTTTGGCTCTGTGGCAACTTTTGATAGTTGATTTTCTCCTTAATCTGTGAAATATTTGGAGGTATTTTAATTAACCTGTACGACAGGGTAAAACAGGAGTGTCTATCTGTGGAACAGATGCAGGTGCAGGGAAACGCTAAGGTGCTAAGGACAGCCAGGGAAGCCAGGAGGCTTCCCTGGCTGTCTGGGGTCGAATCCTTCAGGCGTGAGGAGTTTTCAGTTGCATATTGGCTTAGAGACCATTCAAACTTGTTTTCGTATTATATATATATATATATATATATATATATATATATATATATATATATATATATATATATATATATATATATATATATATATATATATGACAGTGTCAGACCACGGAGGAAGAATTGAAACAGGAATTTCCTTAAGTACTTTTGTATATTAATACATCTTCAGAAGGTTTTTTTTCCCTCTCCCTACTCTCCCACTCTTCCCCTTACTGCCCTATCTCCCTACCCCCCCCCCCCCCGCCCCCTCCCTCCCTCTAACCTAAAACAGACAGACATTTCCATTTATGTTTATAGAAAGGTATCCAGCTGCACCCGGGTCTCTCCCCCCCCCCTCTCTCTTCTCATCCTTTTCCCCTTTTCATCTCATCTCCCACTTTATCCTCTCCTTTCCCTCCTCTCTTTCCTTCCACATTCCTTCATCTCGTCGTCCTAAACCTCCCCCCCCCCCCCCATCAAAACAATGCCCTCTCTCAACAAATCTCTCTGAAAATGTATAATTAAGAAACTCTAAAACAGCTGTATAGGTCTCTCAGAAAATATAAGCAAAATTGAAGGTGATTGAATGTAATTGATGTTGGAAATATATTTTTTCTATAAAGAATATGACCATAAAAGAAACCAAAGAATTTTTTAATTTTACCCTAACTGATCACCAGTTTAAACAAAATAAGACGAATATTTAAAATACATTGCTTCAATGTTAGTGGTAAGGGAAACTTAAGGTAACTGCAGAAACTGAAGTTGGAAATATGGACAGCAAATAAATAAAGATGGGAATCAAATTTTTTTCTTCAATCCCAATAGATTTCAATGCAATTTTTTGCTCAAATAGATTCTCCAAAGACGGAATTTACATTAACATACAAGTCTGACAAGCGTGTAGCATGCAATTGAGTGAGTTTACAAGAAAATCGACGTTTTCACATTCGTCAACCTATAAAATGTTTGATACATTGTAGCGATTTTATTGAAGATTTCTGGTTGAGTAGCTTGGAAATGGTGCAGTTACATCAACGAAGATAATGAAATGAATTTTATACTCAAGACAAGCATTGGCTGTATTGATTCACGCGTATTAACGAAGAAATTAGTTTTATAAGACGGTTTGTTCCGATTTTCTACTTCTATAGCTAAGTATGCCCATAAGTTTATATGTTTTCTTTTAATTTTGAGCGTTTGCCAGTAGCTGTTTATTATTATTATAAAATGTTAGTTTTTCGTCAATAGCAACCGATTAAATCCAAATTTTACCTCGATTTTATTGTTTAATGATAGGATGCACACTATTACACGAAACCTAATTGCATTTTACATATAAATGAGTGTTATTTGAACGCTATTAGACGTTTTAGCGTTCGTCAACATGTAAACTCATAATAGAGCTTAGGTTCTGTAGGAATCAAACTTTTTGGTTCATTCCGAATCGATTTGATTTTTTTTTTATTTGAATGAAATTTTCTCTCGAATCGCTTGTACATCGATGCAATCGACATTAATATACAAGACTGATACGTATATAGTATGGGAATAAGTGATTATACAAGAAAATTTCATGTTTTCATATGTGCTAACAGAAGTTTCTGGTTCATTCCCAACTAATTTGAATGCAATTTTTGCTCGATTCGCTTGTAAATCGATGCAATCGACATTAATATGCATGACTGGCGTGCATCCAGCATACAGATTAGTGGTTTTACAAGAAAATAAACGTTTTCACGTATGTTTCGATGTAAACTCCAAATACAACTTGGATAGATTGGAAAATCAAACACATTAGTTCGTTCCCAATGGATTTGAATGCAATTTTCGCTCGAATCGATTCTCCAAAGATGAAATGGACATCAATATACAAACATGACAAGCATGCAGCATGAAACTGACTGAATTTAGAATGTAACTATCAGGGGAAAGCACCAAGTCACTACGACTATATAAGAAAATCGATGTTATCACGTTCGTCAAAATGTAATATCTTTGATATATTATTGTTATTTTATTGAATGGTTTAATATAGTTCCTAAGAAATGGAGCAGTTAGCTTATCAAACATAATGGGTTTAACTTTATACTCAAGACTGTTTCATTGGTTGCATCTATTCACGTGTATTAACGAAGAAATTTATTCGAAGAAACGGTCTTAGTAAATATTCTCCAACTATAGTTTAGTCTGCCCAAATATTTCTATGGTTTTCTTTTAATTTTCGACGATTGACAGTTGACTTTTTGTTTCATTGATTATATATACGAGGGTACATTCTTGTAAAGCCACTAACACGAATAGTGTCTTGGGCAGGTCCTTAATCTTAATTCTCCTCTGGAATACAACCCTCCAAATCCTTTAACTCTGAGTTACCGATTCACCGCTGGGTGAACAGAGGTTGCCGCCTAGTCAATCCTCCCCAGCCAGGATACAAACCCAGGATTGGGTTCGTATTAATAAATAAAAAAATCTTTATTTCCATCCCAACCCATCTCTCGCGTAGCACGGGGCGAGTGTGTTTCCACTGCGCCACGGTGACTGCCCAATTATGATTTATGATCATGAAAAATTTGTTTTTCGTCATTTAGTACCTTGTAAATGGTTCAAATCACCTTGTCAAACGTGATGGGTTCAATTATATACACGAGAATGTAGCATTGGATGCATAGATTTATGTGTATCAATGCAGAAATTCGATCGATAAAATAATTTTATGCTATTTTTTACTACTATAAGCTAGTTAGCCCTTAAAATTGTATGGCTTTCTTTTTAATTTTCAACGTTTGTCAGTTAGAATCTGTTATGACTATGAAATGTTAAGTTTTCGTCCTTAGAAATCGATCATCTCCGAATTTTTAATCGATTGTATTGTAGAATGATACAATTCACATTATTGCACAAGACACGATTGCATTTTGCATGCAAATAAATGTATATTGAGCGAAATTCGGCGTTTTAATGTTCGTCAACATGTAAACACCAAATACAACTTCGATATATTAGGAACTCACACTTTTTGGTTCGTTCCCAATCGATTTGAATGAAATTTTCAATCGAATCGCGTGGACATCGATACAGTCGACATTAGCATAACAGACTGACGTTCATACAACATGCAAATGAGTGATTATGCAATAAAATTCGATGTGTTTCGAAGAAAACAGCTAAGAGAAGGTTTTGGTTCCTTCCAAACTGAGTTTAATGCAATTTTTGCCCGATTTGTATGTAGATCGAGGTAATCGACATTGCATCAGTTTGGGTAAAATGTGAAAAATCTCCGTTTTCTCTTATGATCAAAGTTCCTTATATAAATAGACTAAATTTTAAGCTTCAAATATGTGCAATTACCCTCAGCTATGCTTAAAAATAGCACTAGCATAATATTTTAAATATCCATCGTATTTTGGAAACTGCATGTCAGTTTAGGCAAAATATGACTAATCCCCGTTTTCTCTTATGGTCATAGTTCCCCAGCTCGTCCTCCAAAAATGGGGAGGTAAATGTAAGAGCACAAATAAGTGCAATTATGTACTATTCATAGCAGTCAGGAATTGTACTTATTTTCACTTAGTATTAAATCGTATTGTCAAATATATTGTGAATATTTGAGTTTACCTGAAAAACTGAATAGAAAACCACGACCTCACCTAACCGTCTTAGTTTTTGAAGATAATAATTTTATTGCTTCTTAATTACAATTTTTACTTAACCTACAGCTATATTAATATTACAGTTTTATGAAACTAATAAAACAAAACTAAAATATATCAATAAATTGTAAAGTAACTTAGGATATTTTCCAATTTTGTATAAAATCTCTATTGTTTAATAAAACTGAAAAAGAAATTCCTAATATTTAAAACTTGTGAGAAGTAATTAATTAAACAATTTAATGTTAAAATTTTGAGAGTCTTAACAAAAAAACGAGGATAATAAATGGGGGAGGTAAATGTAACAGCCCCATAAGTGCAATTATGTACTGTGTATGACAGTAAGGAAATGTACTTATTACACTTAGTATTAAATCGTACTGCAGTAAACACTTAAGGGGGCATATCAGTATAAATTAAAAGTTGTTCAATTTGCTTATAAATTTTTTTATGAAATGGTTATAGAAAGGGCTGCAACTGGTCCAAGTTTCACCATCACACCCTAAACAGAAAAGGAGAAAAAAATACACAACGTATTATGCAACGAATGTTCAACATTCTCAAATAATCTCAGGGAACACAAGTGTCAACTAAAATGTCTACTATGTGCTGTAGAAGCACAAACTCTTGTAATAATTGTAATATGTATGTGCAATATATTTATATGTAATTTTTTTTTTTCTTTTTTTTTTGGCCAATTTTTTTTTCTCGTTTGTTATCAAGGGATTTGCATGAAACTTGCACACCTTGCGCAATGGATGCCTATCTGCAAGGTTGCCAATTATGAACGAAATCTGTCGAAGTCATGCTCAGCTACAGGTGGCCGAACTTGGATCTTTATTTTACTCTGGAAAGTAATTTACACCTTCAAAGTACTTCAGAGCTTTCATTTATTAATCAATTTACATGCAAATTACACCTTATATGTAGCGTTTGTGCTTCTACAAACCTATTGAGACATTTTAGTCCAAAGTCCATTTGTTGATTTTATAAAAATTTATAAACATCATATATTGCATATTTTTGGAAGGGTAACTTTGAATAATTATATTATTGCACTAAACACTTTTTTGATAAAACTGATCACTACAATCCTTTATTATGTGCTACATTTAATATCTGAGTGTTATAGAAATGATTTTAGTTGACACATGTGTTCCCTGAAACTATTTGAAAATGTTGAAAATTCGTTGCATAATACGTTGCGTATTTTTTTTCTCCTTTTCTGTTTAGGGTGTGATGCTGAAACTTGGACCAGTTGCAGCCCTTTCTATAACCATTTCATAAATAAATTTATAAACAAATTGAACAATTTTTACGAAACCCGTAATAAGCCCCCTTAACTTAAAACTTCAAATATGTGCAATCGCACTGATTTGTGCAAAAAAACGGTAAAGAGTAATAGTACAAATCTGCATCGTATTTTTCAAACTGCAGGTCAATTTGGGTAAAATACAATTATTTTCTCACTCTTATATATTAATGTGGTACGCCTAGAGACAAATAAGATTTCCTTACACCAATAAATCCACACAAATACTTGCCATCCATTAAAGAGAGGAGAAAAACCAGGATTACACCAGGTTTAATCCTGGTTGGAATAACCAGGATTAATCGGACCGTCTTCTCAGACTCAAATAGACTAACTTGACTGTCGTATTCGACCAGTCACGCCCCAATCGTGACATTCTCAAGACATGACAACCGTCGAGGGCTTTAGGCTTTGAATCACGTCATCTGGAGACACGTTGTGTGACACAGAATATAATAGCCAGTACCTTCCAAGAGGGGTGACCTGACGCTGGTCAATTACCAACCTGAAGCACTACTTTATTTATTTATTTATTTATTTATATATATACAAGAAGGTACAATGGGATTGTGAAGATACATAGCATAGTAAATACATTCTTGTAAAGCCACTAGTTCGCGCAGCGTTTCGGGCTAAACCAACTGGCTAACTCCAATGCATAAAATTTGGCATTCACTCTTGCTCATATGCTGGAAAGACTTAAGGGTTCTTCTGGATGAAGTATTAGTTTTAGGTCACAATAACGTGTAGCGTTCTCAAGGTGGCCTGAAGGAACAGGATAGGCATCAGGTTGTAACCTTCTTGTTACATAGCCACTCACCTAATCTGGTACCCATTGTCCTGACAATAAAATTAGGATTTAATAAACTAGATTTAATAATTAGGACTTTAATAAAAGTCAATTCTACTATTTTTTCTTTGGAAGCTACAATGCTGAGGCTTCAAAGAGGTGAGAGGCGGGTGGGATTAATAAGAAAAACAGCATACAATATAAATCTATTTTATAATATTACATTAAATACAGTAATTACAACAGTAGTTGCAAATTCACCTCTACACCACACGCTTACGTTTAATAGTAAACAAAAAATATATATCTCTGTTTCCGCCATGTTATTTTGAAACAAAGAACGCGTTTGGATTCGGCACATTCAAATACAGATAAGCACAGACAATCAGATCACAGCCCAGACATCCCGGGTTCGATTCTCGTAGCAAGGACAAAAAGCATTTGGGTATCGTTTTCCCGTCACCTGATGCCTCTGTTTGACTATCAGTGAATAGATACCCGGGAGTTAGGCAACGGTTGAGGGTTTCACCCTGGGGTATACAAGGGTGTATAGCGTGAAATCTGACAAGGGTGAAAATAGGATTTTTTAACCCTGTCAGTATAGTTAGCCCTGGTCAGGGGACCTTTTGTCACACGGAAGTCATTATTGTACTTAGCGAACACTTCATAAAGCCACATTGTTTACACTAGGATACTAATGTGTTTCTGAAGGTCATTTTATATTACAGTGGCTTAAAGTTAATGTCCAGAACGAACTTATTCATTTAAAAGTTGTATTATAACAAAAAAATATAGAAGAGAAACATAAATGTTTTCTAAATCGATGAGTACCTTTGCGTAGCTTTTCGGTTTCGGTGACTATTAAAGCACTGTAAGTTTTCATTTGAGTTGTACTATAATCCTATTGTTCATTATACAAAGTCTTTACTAGTATTTCACTTGATTTTTAAATTGCTTTCCAAGGCCTAAGGTGCCTGCCTCTAATATACGAAAGTTTAGTAAGGAAACAAATTATAGATATTCGAAGAAGCGTTCAGATGAAAAAAATAATAAGATGTACGCAAAGGAATGAATTAATAAAATGCGCAACACAGCTGTTGAACATCATGATGCTCCTTATTAATAATAAAAGATAATAGATATAGTTCACTTTTTTTTAAGATAGTTGTCGTGAGGTTAATTATTGTTTGAATATTTTCAAGCATTCGATTTCGGTCCAGGGAAAAAACCCCGAAGCCTTGTCACTTTTCCCCCAGGGCAAACATCTGGCCAAATGACGTTGACGTAACATTAAATCAACATTGAAAACGATGTTCTAACATTCATTATTAAACATTACCCGAGCATGTTTTGCCCACTGGATTCTTCCCCTTCTCGAATGTGTTTGTTGGGTGTATAAATGGCCAGTTCCGTTGTTGTGGGGCATTGTCTGCAACGCCATTTATCTTGGCTCGTAGAGTGCCATTGGCCAGATTCTAAACTGTCTCGCCTCAGATTTGATGCGATACTTAAGGGGGAACAAAATATAACATTGCTTAAAAGATTTTTGGCAAATTATTCTGTACACTCGACGGCCCAATATAGTAGATAACCCCGAGACATTATACCAGAGGGTATATCGCTTGCCGCCTGGAACTCTGCTTGACATGATAAAGTAATGTAGTTTCAGCAACAATTGTTACCATAACACGCACTAGGAACTAACAGGTAGGGCCACTTAACAGTCACAATTTACGAAGTAGATGTTTCCCTGAAAAGTATACTTTATATTGTAGATATAGAACCAATAAGCTGCGTTTACAGACTACGGTAGACTAGCTGCTAAGATGAACACAGTTCCATAGCTCACTCTGAACAATATAACTACGTATATACATGTATATGTATACGTATATACACGTATATACATATATACATGTTGTATGTGTATCCGTCACATACTAGGCAGATTGAGGCTTCATATCTACAAAATAAACCGCGTGAGAAAATTAAGAAACAAATGTGAGACATCAAGTAGAAGCTCGTGGGTCTCCCGGAGGGTGAAGATGGCCAAGACGATGATCACACGTCATCTTGAGACTCAAAAAAAAGATCCGTCGAGTCTTTAAAGAAGTTATTTAGAGCCTCAGAAGCTGCCGAGGTATTGAGGAACATCTAGAAGGAGACCTTCAGCCCCACGTCCCGCAGCCGGCCGTCTGAATGTGGGCGGCCGAGGCGCGACCTTCCTTAAACGTCACCCCCAACAATCTGCAAACCACAACAGGTCAGTTGTTGACAAGGTTAAGGTAATTATGAGGAGGAAAGCGCTTAAGCTAGTATGACTATATAACACTTGGAAGGAATGTGGACCAGGAGCTTTGATGTGAGGTCAGAAGGAAGGAAGGAATGGTGCCCAGACACTTGGACCCTCGGGACTCGAACACCGGCCTGCAAGAAGCGAGCCGTCCCTGTACCGACCGGTGGGTGAGCCTGCTGTTGGGGAGGATTTTGTTACTGATTTCATGACTTTGATTTACCTACGTCTGGTCTGGCGTAGATATATAGGAATAATATGTACTAGCTCTGTCTAGACATCCAATATTCTGTTTGTAACTCATTTTGAATGTATGTACTTTTATCTGAATAAACATTATTATTATTATTATTATTATTATTATTGTTATTATTATTATTTACACAAGATAAGTGTTTCTCGGAAAATACTTCAAGACAATATCTTATCCAATGCAGTTTGAATAAGATAGTGTTGATATCTTATACTAAAGTGTGTTCAGATATATTTTATTGTCGTCAACGCTTTTTGGATTAACTTATGATACAACTATGGACATGAGCACATATTTTATGTTCCGTTTGGGAAATATTATTGTTTAAATTAGCTGCTTTATCCTCATAACATACAGTTCATTAACATTATGGACTAACAGTAAACACTGGAATTCAATATACAGTATACAACATATACAATATTGTATATGTTTGTAACATATATATACAACGTGTTCCATCGTAGGCGCGTTCTAAAACTACAGTACGAAAAATGTTGTATTCTCTTCACAGCATGCACTACAGTTAGTTTAGTTCATTTATTATGCACCCCATACCCATAATAAATGAACTAAACTAACTAACTAACTGTAGTGCATGCTGTGAAGAGAATACAGCAGCAGAGAAAAATAATTACTTTTTGCCAGGATGCAGCCCCCTCCCCCCCCCCCACAACAGTTACCTGACTCCCCGGGGTTCTTATTTACTACTAGGTGAACAGAAGCATGAGATGAAAAGAAACGTGGCCCCCAAACCTCTCTGCCATGCCGAGGGCATCGAACCCAGGGCCTCTTGGTTATTCGGCACCATCCGTGTTGCGTACAAAGGAGCCGAAGCAGTTGTAAATCTCTCTGGTGCATAGACACCTGCTTTCTCTGTTCTTTTATACCCACTGAGTTTATATTAGCCATTCAGGACTAAGTATATACTCACTGGTTAGTCAGTAAAGTCAGCAATATATAGTGGTGACCTTAGTGATCCGCTAGGGGGTTGAGAAGCCTTACGTCCAACACCACCAGTTGTTAATAGGTCTTAAGTTCAACACCACCAGTTGTTAATAGGTCTTAAGTCCATCACCAGTTGGTAATATGTCTTAAAACCAACACCACCAGAAAGTGATAGGTCTTACGTCCAGCATTGCCAGAAGTAAATAGGCCTTAAGGGTTGAGAGACCAAATGGGTTAATCCAGCAGATACAAAGAGCTGAGAGTTGTTGCAGCGTCATTCAGCTCACGTAGACGGTGACTGGTATTCCAGCAACAGTTAGAGAGGCGCTGGGGACCTGCCTGCCTGTCTTATCCCTCAGCTGCTGGCCCAGTGGACGTTTTTGGTCGCTTTGACGTCGGTCTGACATCGTTCTCTGCTGACGGGTGACGTTAAAGCGACCGAAAAGGGCCCACTGGGACTGCAAAGTCAATCTTAGTGGATCATTTTGAACATTCCACAGAGGGGAGCAAAGAGGCCAAGTGGAAGCTCAGAACACTAATTTAAAAATTAAATATACAATTTTCTGCAATGTGGTGCCTTGAGTGCAACGAATACAGTTATAGTCTTTGTGTTATGTGAGAGATGAGTACACTGAGGCACACCCTCCTGTGTTATGTGAGCCATGCCTGGGAAATGAGTATAGTCTTGTCACATATGACAGGATAATATGACTGTTTAACGGTCTGCGCCACTGTGTGGAGATGTGCCTCCGCCTCACCGTTGGGGGGGAAGGATGGTCTTACCTTTGAAGGTCTTTACCCGTGGAGGCTGAGCTGCCTACTGGCCGTGGGGCAGCACCACGTTCCGGCCAAGGAGCTGCCGGACGTCTGAGGTGGCTGAGAAACTCTTCACGGACTCCGTGCCAAGAGCCGTCACAATCTGGAACACAAAGTTGGTCAGTGCGTAAATACTAACGCGACTGAGCATCAGCCGACACGGCATCATTGTTCTACGAGTTCAAGAGAACACGAAGGCAGATGTATTGTAAGATGATTATACTACTTTGGGTTCCATGTTATGTTGTAAGTGATTTTCCTGTTGCATGGGTACAAAGGTTTGTTAGACCTACTGAAGTCGTCCTAGGCCGACTATTAACCTTTCTCTAGATGCCTAATTCAACGTTACCTATTTACTGTTATGTGAACATAAGCATTTGGTGCAAAGAACACTGCCCAAACGTCTCGACCTGTCTGGATTGTTTAGTGGTTGTTGGGAGTTTGCCACTGGAGGAAAAAAACTGACTGTAGCACTTTATTCAAATAAATCAAATAGTGAGTGCAGATGACCAAGTGTATTGACAGAATAGTAACTGGAAGAATACTGGAAATTACAAAGAAATTTTATGATAAACTTTGTGAGTTTTGTAGTAGGAGGAGGTGTGCACTGGAGACACTTTCTTGAAGACGACTTGTAGGAAAGAATGTGAGAAATATTTCAATATGTACATGACATTTATGGACTTTGGACAAAACATATGATAAAGTTAATGAAGGACTTCTGAGCAAGGAGCGAGTTCTATGTTAGCTGAGCTCTCTTAAATGCTGCGAAACATCTCTATGCAGGAACTAGTACAAGACTAGGGAGGCTAATGGTTTATTGAGTGACTGGTGTGATAAAATTAATGTAGGTGTTTATCAGGGTCGCGTGATGTCATCCTGTAAAACTATATTAATAGCTAAAAGATAAAATGTGTCTAATTGTTTACCCAACGTTGGAGGTCAGATGTTTGGGGCTAGCCTCACCAAATTTTGCTGGTTGTCTGGTAAGTGCTGGAGGATGGCCATAGGCAGGTTGGGGATAGAGAGGAGATAATCGCACTAAATGCGTAGTGGTTTTGAATCCATTACGTCCAGGGGATCTCCCTGAATACAGATTGCACTGAAGAAAAATCTTCCAAGAAGTCATTGGAAATTAAATGTGCAGTGCCGAGTCCATAGAGTTTTAAATATATTTATACCAATGCAGATGTAACTAAATATGTTAACCCTTCATTAATAGGGTAATGAAGTTTATGTATCCCACCCAAGAGCCGCTGATGGCGACCCACCCAAGAGCCGCTGATGGCGACCCACCCAAGAGCCGCTGATGGCGACCCACCCAAGAGCGGCTGATGGCGACCCACCCAAGAGCCGCTGATGGCGACCCACCCAAGAGCCGCTGATGGCGACCCACCCAAGAGCCGCTGATGGCGACCCACCCAAGAGCCGCTGATGGCGACCCACCTACCTTCTGTTCATTGTCGTTCAGCAACTGCTGCAACACGGGCGACAAGGTAGGAAACTTGGGTAAACCTCCCGACGTCCGAAACGCCGTGGCGGTGACCGCGGGGGCGACGTGCACCGCAGCGGGACGCGGGCGAGGAGGCGGCGGCGGAGGCTTGGCCGCCGGCACGGGGCCCCTGGTGAAGGAGGCGTGGGCTGGCCGCTCGCACCGGTTCAGGCTGGGCCCCATGCACGACGCGTAGGCCATGACGTGGGCCACGTAGTTCTGCTCGTGGGTCCGGTGGAACAGGTGAGCCATCGGTCCTGTGTAACACGGAAGAATGAAATAACAATTGACAAATTGATCCTTGAACAAAGAAAGGCGAAAAAGGCAAGCTTTATAATAGTCATACCTGCTGCCCAGACGGCCACGTCCTCCCCGCCGTGTGTCTCTTCGTTGGGCGGCGTGGGGACTGCCGCCAGGAAGCGGTAGTCTGGGTGTTTAGTGTTGATCAGCCTGGGGTCCGGCCGCCGCACCTGTACCAATACCAACACTTGTAACATGATTTGTTTACACAGATCGCTGCACAAGACAACTTTTGACTCCTGTTAGCAGGCTTAATTGACAATTTTTGACTCCTGTTAACAGGCTTAATTGATAACTTTTGACTCATGTTAGCAGGCTTAATTGACAATTTTTGACTCCTGTTAACAGGCTTAATTGATAACTTTTGACTCATGTTAGCAGGCTTAATTGATAACTTTAGACTCCTGTTAACAGGCTTAATTGACAACTTTTGACTCCTGTTAGCAGGCTTAATTGACAACTTTTGACTCCTGTTAACAGGCTTAATTGACAACTTTTGACTCCTATTACCAGGCTTAAGACTTTCCCTTACCGCGTAGCTCATTAATTATAAAATCAATAAGCAGTAAAAACATAGTAAACCACTCTTATGAAAATACAAATATTTGTCTTGATTAAAATACGAAAAAAAAGTTGAACAAAATATTTGAGATTCAGCAACAAAACTGCCACAAGCCCCGATGCCTGGGGACATTCCCAGCCCACAACACTAAGATTACCCAGCGTGCAATCCTCTATATTGGTCAGCCCACTCTGACGCTGCACACTGACGCATCAGCGATAATAATCATTCCTCACATCACAAAGGAATGTAGCAGGAAGTGCCATGATTATATTACAGGAGACAATGTACCCAATTACATTTTCCCAGTAGAAAACATTCCACTCGTCTTCATTGAACTATACTTTATACGCTCCTTGTGAATAACAGTAAAGTCAATATGAATGAGGAGTTGAATATGTAAACACAAAACAGAGCAGGAAACAATGTATATTGGAAACAATTGTATATACAATACACATTGTATATTGCATATACAATTGTCGTATAGATATTTGACCATGTCGAAGCTCAGTCGATTAAGGCAGCGTCTGGGATCCTCTGGGACGTAGGTTCGAACCCTCGTCACAGCCCTTGTGGATTTGTTATATTGGTTAAGTTTAGATTTAGGCACCTACCTGCAGCCTTAGTGAAATTATAACCAGATCAAATACAACGTAATCAATGAAACTGCCGTTGTGGTGGATAAGAATGAAGAGTAACTGTGATGTACCAGTTTCAGCTTACCTGGTTCCTGTTAACGGTGTAGTTGTATCCTGGGCCGTTGGTGAACATAAGGGTGGTGTAGGGCAGGCCGTCCACCTTTGATATATCTCCACTAATACCTGCCAGGGCCAACACAGGTATTAATACACGTAGGAAAGCAACTAGATTATATTTAGATAAATTATTATCTATAAACTTTAGATAAATTATTTAAATAAATAAATTAGAAAAATTATATTTACATAGTGTTTCATTCATCTGAGCTCTTGGAGATTCGATCCGCAGACCTCACGAGTGTGAAGAGTCTCCAGGACTCTCCAAGAGCCCAGGTACCAGATTCACGCAGCAGTTACGCAAGCACTTACGAACCTGTACATCTTTTCTCAATCTTTGGCGGCTTTGTTTACAATTATTAAACAGTTAATGACCTCCGAAGCACCAGGAGGCTATTTATAACAATAACAACAGTTGATTGGGAAGTTTTCATGCTTATAAACTGTTTAATAAATATAACCAAAGCTGTCAAAGATTGAGGAAAGATGAACACGTTCGTAAGTACTTGCGTAACTGCTTTGTGAATCTAGCCCCAGGTGAATGAATTGTTTGCAGACGATGAGTTACAATAACGTGGCTGAAGACATGGTGACCAAACCACACACAAACCAGAAGATGAAGAGACGACGACGTTTCGGTCCGTCCTGAACCATCATCAAGTCGATTGTGTTTATGAAATGTTTATTTCCACGGTAGTGTGGATGACAATTGATTTATCTCGTGTTATATGTGAATATCTGACATATTCATGCTTGACACGAGGAGTTCAAGTGTAGTAGGCTGCTGTTGTAGAATTTCCACTGAAGACATTTACACGATAACATATTGAGTGTAGTGTTAATGTGTGATAAAGTGCAGTGAGCAACACCAAAAGCAGTCCAGTATGAATGCAACTTGCTTAGCACCGTTCGTTAGTTGCATATTTCCCTGTTAGGTAACAACATACATTAAGGCAGAGACCAATAATATCAACACGGGGGGCAGCATGTGTAAATCCTGCGGGAAACATCAACAAAGTTGCAGGCAACACTGCATCAGTGGGAAAGGGAAATCTGGAACTCACCAAGAATGTCGTTTCCGCGGTCTGGGTACCCGTTGATGGTCATCACGTGGGAGTGGTCCGCGGTCACCACCAGCAACGTCTCCTCCAAGTCGATCTCCTGTACCGAGTTCACAGTTAACAATTGTTTAAACAACTTCCTACTCTACGAGCCATCATCAAAACCTCCGTTTGCATCTTCCGGAATTGTGTATACAGATATTTGGTGAGAAATTTATTGACGTCGTACTTTTTTGTGTGTGATGACTTACAGTAAGTATTTTTCTGTTATTTCTGTGGCGAGATGAATTATACCTAGTGACAGCAGGATGATTTACCCTGAGTGGAAGCGGGTTACTCCTACTGCAGGTCCACATTTAGGGTGTCATTGCGTGTCCGTGTCCACCCTTAATACTTTCATCTGAACTTGTTAGTTTCTCTACATAACTTTCCTTTCCATTTGTGTGTGGCGTCGTCCTAATGCCCTGTGTTATCGTTCACTCCCAGAAATCTAGACTAAGAGTTTAAAGTACTGCTAACTGCTTCAACCAGCGTGTCTGCCCAGGCCGCCACCTCAGTCTCACCTACGAAGAGGTCTGGCTAGGTAAGGTAAGGCAATTATCAGGAGAAATCCCCCGCGATAGCAGCCACATAGTAACAACTGACGATTTAAATGCGAGCTCAGCACACAGTATATCCTTTCACGAAGAAAGATCACATTCACTCCAGAAAATCTACCACTTACGGGCTTTTCATGCCCGTGCCACCTCTTGGGTAGCTTAATCTTCATCAATCAATCAATCATCAGGAGACACCACTAAGCCATTATCACCGTATAGCGTAGAGAGTTCTGGCCAATGAACGTTCTTGATTAATAGTATTTCATAACCAAGACGATGCTTTTCCGGCTAGCCGCCTTCTTCTGATAATTACTCTCAAGTCGGCAGTTAATCTCATGTAAATTGCATTCCACACTTCCGTGGAAATAAACATTCCATTCGTTTGCCATTCACCTGGGCTGTATGGGTCTCGAACCCTGAACACCACTCGTGTGAGGCCGGAACACTATCGACTGGGCTCTCAGCAGTCTTAAAAAGGAGCCTTTTTTAAGACTACTCATAGCCCAGTCGATAGTGCTATGGTCTCGCACGCGTGGGGCCCGCGGTTCGAGTCTCCTAGAGCTCAGCTAAATGGAATAATCTCCACTGACCTTGACAACCACTCACCACCAACACCGAACCTTGGCAGAACTGCTAACAGGAGTCATAAAGCATCAGCTCCTGTACTCACCTGTGTAAACAAACAATTCACATATGCTCGGAGCCCGATCCTTTTTTCCTCATCATTATTTCTTGGTTTAATTTACCGAGAAGTTCTTCACTTCTACCCTTGCCAACATCATCCCCTCCAACAGACAGGCAGACAATAGGCTTTTTCCCATTGCTATTGTTCATCCTATCCAACTACGTCACCTATACCAGCTCGAGGAACTCACACCCTCATCCTGTAATGCTCATCCCTGAAACAAGAGGCCCGGTTTACATATCTGAGAATCCCCCAACTAACAAGGTCTTCCTACCTATCCTGTTGAGTCGTCTCTTTCTCCTACCTCCTGCTTCTATGCTCGAAATCTGCTCTATCTCCACCGTCGAACAGCTGCTAGCTCCCTCGAATATTCGTCCTCAAGTGTAGAGATTGCTCGACCGGAGGTTTTCACAACAGGTACCGAAGGCCTCTTCATTGTCTCCCTAAAACCATTGTTTCCTTGCTGACAACCCAAATTTTGGATGGGTCACGACGCCAATCCACCCAATTCTCATCCTGTTACAGTACACACCTCCTCATCTGGTTCACATCTTCCGTCAATCAGCCGAAAATCATTCCTCAGCGCAGGACACCCATGCACTAGACTTAGATTCATCTCTAATTAGTCAAGATCCAGGAACTATCCCACTAGCTTGACTAGTGGGATAGTGCTAGTGGGTGCTAGCCTTCAGGAGTGGCAGGATGCCTTCCTTACCTTGAGCGCTGCAGCTACGGCGCTGTCCATGGCCAGGGTGTCCTCCAGGGCGCGGTGGGGCTGGTTGTCGTGGAGGGCGTGGTCGATCCTGCCTCCCTCAACCTGTAAACGTTAGTCCAGTACATGGGACCATCACAGTTGGCGTACAGTGTACATGGGACCATTATAAGTGACGCACAGTGTACCTGAGGCCATTAAAAGTATTGTTACATTAATCAAACAAAGAGCAAGATATAACTAGACAAGAATGAGAGACATGTGTGTGTGTCCTAGAGAAGACCCCAGAGCACCCACCAGAAGGAAGAACCCGTTCCTGTTCTTCCTGAGGAACCTCAGGGCCTTGACGGTCATGTCCTTGAGCGACGGGGACCCTGAAGCTCCAACCAGCCGATCTATCTCGTAAGGTAAGTGAGAGTCGTCGAACAGTCCTGTAGGGGGAAAGAAGGAAAGCGACAGATGAAATCTTGTCTCGCACGTTCTAAGATACTTACATGTGGATCTAGGTCACTTGAGGATTCACACTAGGCATTTTACGCATCCATTTACGAAACCTGTACATCTTTCCTCGATCACGAAGGATTGGTCTGTATTTATTAAACAATCTACGAGCTGCGAAATTTCGTAGTTCGTGGTTATTGTTGTTATAAGTATCCTCGTCTATAGTGCTTTGGAGCTCATAAACTGTTAAATACATGTCAACTAAGCTGCCATGATTGAAGAAAGATGTAAGTGGACAAGTATATAAGTGCTTGATGAACTCTGGTCCAGGAAGGGAGACATCTCCCGTCACGCAAGGGTGCAGTCGCACCTCCACAGATCTCAAAAGGTAATGGCTCAAAAGGGCCACCACTTACGGGGTATTCATGCCCGTGCCACCTTTTGGGTGGCTTAATCTTCATCAATCAATCAATCTGGTCCAGCTCAAAAAGTATACCATTAATTGTGTGGTTCTGCTAGTTCATTATTATCATATCTCTCTCTCTCTCTTGGTATCTATAATATTGTTATTATTTATTTTATCAATATTTTGTGTTTGTACGTTATAGTCTTGAATAACTTTGTTATTATTTGTGCATTATAGCTTCACTCATCCGAGAAGATATATTGGTATCGTACACGAGTTCTGCGCCGAAATTATGTAATAGATAATTTTCCTCGCGTTAAAAATCACAAATCAAATGTTTTAGACAAGAGGGAACGTTGTCGTGAAAAAAGCTGATGTTTAAATAGTGAAATTGCAACATCTGAGCATCGCGAGGAGTGAGTTAAGTGTAGTGTAGGTGGTTACAGTGAAGGTCGTTTATAGTATTAAAGGTTACAGTGATAAATGTAGGGTGTAGTGGAGATGTGGCCTCTGTTACTCACTCGAGGCCATAGTTTTCATAAACAAATCACTCACGTAATCTTGAGATTTGATTTATATTCTTCGCATAATTCCCCAAAGGAAGTATACAAAATTTGATGACCAGACCACACACTAGAATGTGAAGGGACGACGACGTTTCTGTCGTCCTCCTCACCTCTCTCGTGCCTATTTATTGCCTGTCTCTACTTCCTCATCACCCCATTTGGTCACCACTTGGTCCGGGAGACATCTCCCGTCACGCAGGGTGTAGTCGCACCTCCACAGATCTCCAGTATCAGCTCTTGATACTGGTAATGGCTCAAAAGGGCCACCACTTACGGGCTATTCATGCCCGTGCCACCTTTTCGATGGTTTAATCGTCATCTTGGACACATTCATGGGAGACATCTCCCGTCACGCTGAGTGCACTTGCACCTCCACAGATCTCCAGTATCAGCTCTTGATACTGGTGATGGCTCGAAAGGGCCACCACTTACGAGCTATTCATGCCCGTGCCATCTTTTGGGTGGCTTCATCTTCATCTTCTTCATCTGTTTAAAACACGGGAGACATCTCCCGTCACGCTGGGTGCAGTCGCACCTCCACAGATCTCCAGTATCATCTATTGATACTGGTGATGGCTCAAAAGGGCCACCACTTACCAATTCATGCCCGTGCCACCTATTGGGTGGCTTCATCTTAACATTGGGTGTTGGAATCTTAACACATTCACAAGGGAGACATCTCCCATCATGCAGGGTGCATTCGCACCTCCACAGATCTCCAGTATCAGCTCTTGATACTGGTAATGGCTTAAAATGGCCACCACTTACGGGCTATTCATGCCCGTGCCACCTTTTGGGTGGCTTAATCTTCATCATCATTCCTCATCACAATTGACTTGAGAATGGTCCAGGACGGACCGAAACGTCGTCGTCCCTTCACATTCTAGTGTGTGGTCTGGTCATCATACTTTAGCCACGTTATTGTGACTCATCGCCTGTATACAAAATTTCCCTAGAGAGTGAAACACATTTATTCTTCTACCTCTGGTCGCAAAACCCCAAATGGTTAAAACAATATTCAGTGTCTCACCCGGTTTGCAGAATTGAATCCAAACCCACGCCAGGTCTGGATTTCTCTCTCTTTCCGTCGACTCCCTTTCCTCCTCTCTCAGTAGAGGCTTAGGTACGCCCAGGTTTCGCCCTGAGAGTGATGAAGCTGTCAGGGCTGGAGACAGTGCACCAGACTGTCGCTGTACGCAGCTCCCATCACCACCGTGAGGTGGTGTTCCAAGGTGGAGACGGGGTGAGAGGGACACTCTTGTACATTAACAAACGTTATGTTGAGAAGTAACACGGAGCACCGCTCCCGTGCCAAGTAAGTCCACTACGGGCTTACCATAGCCCGTGCTACTTGTCCCACTCCTGTGCCAGGTACGTTACGGGCTCACCATAGCCCGTGTTACTTGGAACTTGTTCCGAGTACCTGAATCTATAACAACAACAACATTGAAAAGTAAATGAAAAGGCAGACTCACTAGCAAAAACTGCCACTGCCCTACCTGTTGTACTGGTTAAAATACCTCCAAGTTTTTCACAGATTAAGGAAAAAATCAAGAAGAAAATACTCCCAACTATCAAAAGTCGCCACAGAGCCAAAGTAGCGGAAGGAAGATCCACTGCGATATGGTACGAACAAGCTCCTGGTTACTCCTCTTTCAAGCCTAACAAAAAGTTATCCAGAGACATTGCAGTAGCCATACACAGACTCAGACTTGGTTACACGTGCTGCTGGGAGGTAATAAACCCAATATTTAAAGAGTGTCACATCTGTGGAACAGAAGCAGAGGCGCCACTATTGCACTACTTACTGGAATGTGAAGCTACTGAAGCCCTGCGCATCAAACTAAACATTAATCCAACGACAGCAGCTGCATTAGATGCACATTCCACAGCGACCACAATTATTAGAAAAAGCCGTTGAAGAATGGGACTCACAAGTGAACATTCTGCACCTACATCCGCCACCATGATAATGTTATTAAAACAACACTAAAAACAGTGCACTAAAACAGAAGCGAAAAAAAAGAAACAGGAAAAAAGGAGGAAACCCCACCTCCACTTCAAACTTTGACCCAAATATCACAGTAACAAGGTTATCGCGAATAACCGAACTCAATTATGGGCTCACCATAGCCCGTGCTACATGGACATTTCGTTCTGAGTAGATAAATCTAAAACAACAATAACAACAGCATTGAGAAGTATATACAAATACAGCCCCGCTCCTGTGCCCTGGACCCCATCATCGCCCCGGACGCGTCTCACTGCCACTCCGGGGATTACCACCAGGACGACCACGAGATCGATCTCAACACAGACTCCAGAACCACCCAAGACCCGGATGGCACAGAGGTATTTACCTCTCCAGCTCCCAACACTCCTACCATCACCATCTCAGCAGACGCGCTAGCAGATGTGCTGTATACGAATACTAACAGCACCACCAACGCTCCTGAAATAGCTTCTACCACTAATCCACGACACCTCAGCCTACCTCAGACTGCGAGACGAAAGACGAAATCACCAACTACGGATGTTACACACTCCTCAGATGACGAAATCTTAGAAGGAGCTCCTCCGCCGCAGCACAAATACGACACCTACTCGGCACAAGACCGCCTCTTGAGCCCGCAAGACTTGCGGGCTCACCATAGCCCGTGCTACTTTGATTTTTTTTGTTATGAGAAGCCGAATCTAAAACAGCAACAGCTCCTGTGCCAGGGAAGTCCACTACGGGCTCACCATGACCCGTGCTACTTGGAACGTTTTGTTTCGAGTAGCTGAATCTAAAACAACAACAACATCAAGAAAGATAGGTATGGAGAATATGGTTTGGTCGTAACATTCATACAAGTCTACCCCTAAGCTGGTTCGTTAATGAGCTTGTCTTGAGTGGTTGTCTTGATAACCCTGATGGGGTCCATAGACCTCAAGTCCAACAGGAAATTAAACTCTTTCTAGCACAGCCTTCCGGCCCGCGCGTGTTTCTCGTGGTGAGCTGTAGTAGGCACGGCCAGCCTGCTTCAGGTACAGGACGTTGGCCAGCCTGCTTCAGGTACAGGACGTTGGCCAGCCTGCTTCAGGCACAGGACGTTGGCCAGCATGCTTCAGGTACAGAACATTGTCCGTCCTGCTTCAGGTACAGAACATTGTCCGGCCTGCTTCAGGTGCAGGACGTTGGCCAGCCTGCTTCAGGTGCAGGACGTTGGCCAGCCTGCTTCAGTTACAGGACGTTGGCCAGCCTGCTTCAGTTACAGGACGTTGGCCAGCCTGCTTCAGGTACAGGACGTTGGCCAGCCTGCTTCAGGTACAGGACGTTGGCCAGCCTGCTTCAGGTACAGGACGTTGGCCAGCCTGCTTCAGGCACAGGACGTTGGCCAGCATGCTTCAGGTACAGAACATTGTCCGTCCTGCTTCAGGTACAGAACATTGTCCGTCCTGCTTCAGGTACAGAACATTGTCTGGCCTGCTTCAGGTGCAGGACGTTGGCCAGCCTGCTTCAGTTACAGGACGTTGGCCAGCCTGCTTCAGTTACAGGACGTTGCCCAGCCTGCTTCAGTTACAGGACGTTGGCCAGCCTGCTTCAGGTGCAGGACGTTGGCCAGCCTGCTTCAGGTGCAGGACGTACGTTGCCTAATTTACACAACTGCTTGTGTGTACTCGCTGCCGGAGAGCAGACAGTGAGAGAAGTAACTGTCTAGGAATTACTCAATTGGTGGTCACTCCACATAGGTTTATTCAGGGCGCGAAATTCATCTGTAAAATTTAGGTGAATATTAAACTATACCTTTGACTCTTACAACTTACCTACGAAATTAGGTAAGTTGAAAGGAAATGAAATTATGAGAAGAAAGGGCTAAGCAAGTGTGACTGTACAGTACATGGAGGGGATAAGAGGACAGGATAGGAGGGTAGAAGGAAGGAAGGAACGATGCTCAGCCACTTGTATTATCGGGGATCGAACGCTGACCTGCAAGACCACCACGGTCCAAGTGGCTAAGGAAACTTACCTAGGAGATATTCAGTGTGGCGAGGGTCGACTCTGTCAAGCTCCCCGGAGGTTGTGACGTAGCGAGCCGTGAGACCGCGCGTGAACTTGTCGTTCAGCCACTCCTTGGTCAGGTCACGGCCGTCGCGGCGCGAACACGACGAGTTGCTGTCAACGCCGTGACTCGCCCCGAGCGCCTGCCGTCCGCCTCCGAGGATCACCTGCACACATATAATAAACAGTTTATCCACCGCCATCGTACGAGCCGCCCAGCGTAAGAGAACACTTCCACGCAGTCTTCATTGTGCTATCTATTTCATTCAAATATATAATTATCCCTTTATACATTTATCTTATTTATTAGCCGATTGTATCACCACTGTATTAGACACCCAACCCACACTCCTAACAATATAGGAAGTGACGACGTCTGGGTCCGTCCTGGACCATGGCGTAATAGCGAGCCCTTCCTGCGGAAGCTTGACTTCAGGATCCTCTCGCTCAACCTCAGAGGTTAAGCGAGAGGACCTTAGGTGGACCTTAGACTGCTGGCGGCGCAATCCACCTCAGGCCTCAACAATATATACGAGTCCACCGGTCCATGGCATGCGGTCCACCCACCTTGATATTCCTGCCGGGGGCCTCCGTTATCAGCTGGGCGCCGATGTCCTTGCAGCCTGCGCCCTTCTTGCCGAGGTTGGAGTCGCACTCCCAGTCGCGGTCGGCGGAGTGGGCGTAGGCGGCGGCGGGCGTGGCGTGCGTCACTCTAGTCGTCGTCACAATACCTGAGGCCACGGTTCACCTTAGACACTAAGCGGCTTCTCCTATCACTCGTATGCATTGTGACAAGAATTTATTTGATTGGAAGAGTTGCTATATCTCTCTACATGATGAGACAAAGACGTGTTATATATACTGACCTGTGTCTTTGCCCGCCTCTTGCGCCCACTGGAGGATGGAAGATGCATGGAAGGCGGGGTTCTTGCTGGCGGCGCAGTCGCCCTGGGTCACCGAGGGGTCCACCCCGAGGGTGTAGTAGTTACCTTTGATGCCACACAGGAAGGCGGTGGCTGTGGCAGCGCTGTCTGGCACCTGCTTGTCCACGTTGTACGTCTGGCAGGGGGGGAAGGTTGGGTTACGCTCTCATCCTTAATCTGTTCCTCTTATTTGATTATAGATTCGACCTTTTTTTTGTGTTTGTATTCCTCTTTACATCTTTCATCTTCCGTCCCTCGTAACACTACTTTCACGTCTAAAGGGACCTGCGTGGTGCAATGTCCCACGAGGTACTTGCATTGTTTGTTATGTCTTATGGCTAAAGGACAGGAGAGACACTCTGAGTCCTAAAAGAATGATCTGTGGCTTTATGGGGCATTGTGTACCTTCTGATTTTATATCCTGTTGGAGAGTTGAGCCGAGATTTACGTACCTAAACTAAAGGTTATTGTGCTAGAATAATTATGATTCAGTTATCCCTACCCTGTCTTCTTTGAGCATACTAAGAGCAAACGATGCTTGAAGAGAAACTGTTCATCTTCCTGAACATTATATTGGAGCATGTTATTTACCAAAACGTACAAGCAGTTAGTGTACCAATAATTGCAGCAATTTGCCAAAAAAGATCCATTAATTTACAGAATTAATTTACAAAAAAGCATCATTTACCAGAAAGTATCAGCAATTAATTTATCAAAAGCGCAAGCTATTAAAAAAGTACAGTGTACAACCAATTAATGTGTATTATATATTTATATTTATTTATTTATATACAAAAAAGCACATTGGGTTGTGACAGAACATACACTGGTGATAGAGAGGTACATCCTTGTAGAGTAACTAACACCCATAGCGTTCATAAAAAAAATAAACACCAGTAATGTACCAGAAAGTACCAGCAATTAGCTTACAACAAGCACAGGCAATATATTGACGTAAATTAGTTGACCAAAACTAGTGAGCGCAGGAGGGCCTCCAAACCAACCTTGAGGAGAGCCGTGTTGGGGAACCTGTCCCACACCAGGTACCCTTCCTCCCCGCTCCTGCCCTTCTTCTGTCCCTTGAAGATCCTGGCGGCGGTGTTGGCGGTCACTCCCAGACCGTCGCCCACGAAAACGACGACGTTCTTGGCCACATTCCAGTTGTCTCGCACGCTGAGGGCGGCCGCTAAGTCGTTCTGAGCGAGGTTCCACCAGTGCTGGCGACCTGGGAAGGGGCCAGTACAATGTATTTGAATAGCTTTTAATGTTCTGGTGCGGAGTTCGTACTAGTTCCAGCGGGGGTTGTTGAGCTTCGGCTCTTTGGTCCCGCCTCTCAACTGGTGTGCATGTTCTTGAGGCTATTGTGATCTATCGTATCTACTTTTGAAACTGTGTGAGAAGGGAGAAGGATAGTAATGAAGAGTCAAGCCATTACGACTATAAGCATTGAAACTGTGTGTGTGTGCATGTTTTGTTCAGAGATGGTGAGTGTAATGATAAGATATGCGGGTATGTGTGCGTATGTACTTACCTATTTGTGCCTGTAGGGTCGAGCTCCAGCTCTTGGGAGGATGCAAGAGTGTGTACAGGGAGGGTGCAGGTGTTATCTTGAGATGATTTCGGGGCTTTAGTGTCCCGCGGCCCGGTCCTCGACCAGGCCTCCACCCCCAGGAAGCAGCCCGTGACAGCTGACTAACACCCAGGTACCTATTTTTACTGCTAGGTAACAGGGGCATAGGGTGAAAGAAACTCTGCCCATTGTTTCTCGCCGGCGCCCGGGATCGAACCCGGGACCACAGGATCACAAGTCCAGTGTGCTGTCCGCTCGGCCGACCGACTCCCCACTGTGTGTGTACAGGGAGGGTGCAGGTGTGTGTGTACAGGGAGGGTGCAGGTGTGTGTTTTACTGTATTACTTCCCGTTGTATTTTAAGCAGGAGAAGACTGCGCGCAACAAGCTGCTCGGTGTTGCGCGTTTCGTACAGGTATCTGGACGTGTTAATTCGTCACAACACGTTAAGATTAAAATTGGAATTTAAAAGTTTAATGTGTTAAACCTGTTGCAGAAGTAAACGAGGCCGACGGCCGTTCGTGTAGATTTGGCCCAGAACCGCGCGACTAGTGACTGCAGGTAAGAGCCAATCAGAATCTCCGACCGATATAACAAGCGCACCGATAAATTTGGGCATAATCAGTGCTCGGCCCGCGGTCCGCAGTGACATAAGAGCTTCGGTCAGTCCAGGCGCCAGATTCACGAAAGCACTTACACAAACACTTACGAACCTGTACATCTTTTCTCAATCTTTGGCGGCTTTGTTTCCTATTATTAAACAGTTAATGAGCTCGGAAGCACCAGGAGGCTGTTTATAACAATAACAACAGTTGATTGGCAAGTTTTCATGCTTGTAAACTGTTTAATAAATGTAACCAAAGCCGTCAAAGATTGAGGAAAGATGGACACGTTCGTAAGTACTTGCGTAACTGCTTTCGTGAATCTGCCCCCAGGGACATAAACATCGAGTGCTCGACTCGCGGTCCTCAGAGACAAGTGCTTCGCTCAGTCCAGGGACATAAACATCGAGTGCTCAACTCGCGGTCCTCAGAGACAAGTGCTTCGCTCAGTCCAGGGGCATAAAGGCAGAAAAAGTGCTCCACCCCCGGCAAGCAGTGTATTAAGCTCTGCGTTTGGAAGAGTCTCTTGAGGAAGACACGGGGAGTTTGTCGACCCAGGATGGGAAGACGCCTTTAAGTTCATGACATGAGCAACAGCGCTGGACGAGGCAGAAATATATTGTGATTAAGAGTCATATTGGTGTGTTATAGAAGACTGGTGGCGGTAGTGGATTGACCTGTACATACATTGTACATATGATATGATATAACTAAATATATATAATTTAAATATATATTTATAAATACATAATATATAGCCATTAATACGGAATTGGATTTGATTAAGTAGTACAAGACTATATTTAACCGAAATATAAGCTTCAATCGAGTAATCTCCGTTCACATTTTTTTTCTAAATATAAAACTAACCCGATGAGCTGTTAAGCTTGCGAAACATAATTACACATTTAGTGTATTTCACTCGAAAACGTCAAAAGAACACTTAGAAACGTGTATGAACTGTAATTACAACTTTGAAAACTGTTATGTTGGGTGAAGACATGTTGCTGGCTGTCTGTATGTGAAGGGAACATGTTGCTGGCTGTCTGTCCGCATACAGCCCCACTAACACCACTGACTCAATATCTTACCTTCCAACTTGTCGCTCTGGCCTGAAGCGATGGCAGCGGTCAAGAGAAGAGTCCAGCCCACCGTGATGAGTGACCTGGGCCTCGAGGCTACCGTGATGAGTGACCTGGGCCTCGAGGCTACCGTGATGAGTGACCTGGGCCTCGAGGCCACCGTGATGAGTGACCTGGGCCTCGAGGCTACCGTGATGAGTGACCTGGGCCTCGCCATGATGCCTGCAACACACACACCACATACATTACACAAACACCTTCAGCCTCACCCACAAGCAACCACCATACGATTTTTAATTTATAGTGATAAAAATGTCACCGTTTTAGTTACGAAATTAAGCAACACAGTGGCGTGAAACACACACACGTATTTGTAGAGCTATTAAGATAAAGCTTTGGAGTAATATGCACTTTTCACTACGTAATATATATCAAACTAAATCATAGTATTCTACATTTAGTTTAATAATTCACTGATTCCTTGCGTTTTGCTGTGTCCGTCCTGTTAATACCGCTAATAATAGTTAAACACTCTTATATAATCCAGTTGTTAGCTTTCGCGGAGGTATGGGGGGGGGTGTTATCTTGAGATGATTTCGGGGCTTTAGTGTCCCTGCGGCCCGGTCCTCGACCAGGCCTCCACCCCCAGGAAGCAGCCCGTGACAGCTGACTAACACCCAGGTACCTATTTTACTGCTAGGTAACAGGGGCATAGGGTGAAAGAAACTTTGCCCAATGTTTCTCGCCGGCGCCCGGGATCGAACCCAGGACCACAGGATCACAAGTCCAGCGTGCTGTCCGCTCGGCCGACCGGGGTGCGGGAATATCGTCAGTCGTTTAAAATCCAGAGCGGCAAGTGACAAACAGAAGGAGAAAAACTATATATAACCTTTCTCCAGTGTCCTGGGTAGGCACAAGCAGGAGAACTGTTGGGTTTATGTTGTTAGCGGGACGGAGCACGCTGGAGATGTGAGCGTTGACTGGCCAGCCGCCAGGGGTACGACATGCGAGGTGAGAGAAGGGGCGGAGCAGACAGTCTATGACCCTGGCTGAGATGAATGCCGGCGGACCTTAAGCGTATCGTGGGTGGGATCAGTATACGTGATCTTGTACCTCCTGGGGGGGACACTAGCACGTGCTAGCGGACCCTGAAGCTCCCGGGGGCTTAATTGCAGGGTACGTAAAAATCCATATACTGTGGGGGGGTTTTTCCGCGGACAGCTTTTCATTCTGCAAAAACACTTTAGCTTCGCTCTTTTACCAGCGTGTATACATGCGGGATTCTTAGTTACAAAGCCTGACTGATCAGTTCATATGAGTATCATACGTATTCTTCGTCTTTTACTGGTGTAGGAATGTTTATATACCATGGTAACGAGTGAAGGAAAATACTCATAAAACTGATTTTTAAGAACCTCTCCAGCGGTTGGATGTGGCCAGATCACGGCTGTTGGCTCTCATGGAAACACAACGTTCCGGGCACCGCACTCTCCGCGGGCACCGCACTCTCCGCGGGCACCGCACTCTACGGGCACCGCACTCTACGGGCACCGCACTCTCCGCGGGCACCGCACTCTACGGGCACCGCACTCTCCGCGGGCACCGCACTCTACAGGCACCGCACTCTCCGCGGGCACCGCACTCTACGGGCACCGCACTCTCCGCGGGCGCCGCACTCTCCGCGGGCACCGCACTCTACGGGCACCGCACTCTACAGGTACCTCACTCCGGGCACCGTGCCCCTCATCTCATCATCTTACGCATGTCAACAATGCTAGCCACTCCATCCAAAAGCATGTCAGATGCCATGATCTTGAATCTCTCTAATGCATATTTTGTTTCCAAGTATGGCATTTCAACGAGTGCGTTACAGTAAAGTGCACGCAAGAAATCCGGATTAAACGGCTGAGTGTGCGTTATGGTCGCGAGAACGCTAGATATTTGTAATTAAACTATTGAATGTGAGTTATAGTTGAACGAACGCTAGAAATTCGGATTAAACGGTTGACAGTGCTTTATAGTCGAGTGAACGCTAGAAATTCGGATTAAAGGGATGAATGTGTGTAACAGTCGAGTGAACGCAATAAGTTCGGACTCAACGGTTGAGGTTGAGCGGGTCTGATAACCAAAGGTCTGTCTCGGGTTACAAGTAACACGTCAGACGGGTCACCCAGCCCTGGGGCCCTCAGCGCTCACCCACACCATGTTGCAAGCTGGGGCCCTCAGCGCTCACCCACACCATGTTGCAAGCTAGGGCCCTCAGCGCTCACCCACACCATGTTGCAAGCTGGGGCCCTCAGCGCTCACCCACACCATGTTGCAAGCTGGGGCCCTCAGCGCTCACCCACACCATGTTGCAAGCGCGAATAAATGATAGTGCACAGAATGTCAGTGAGCGAATATGATCAAAAAATAAAGTATAAGTAATAGTATAACCTAACCTAGACCTAATATATGCAATCCTATGCTAAATACAGCTAATCCAAGAACTAATTTTGCCCATATAAGAGCTGTAACAGGCCTGGGAAGAGTTAAAGTAGTTTTTGCCCGCCTTTCTCTTGCCCTCTCGTCACTGCCCATTATCTTCATATTAAGAGGATATGTTGTGATACATTTTTGTTATTCATGTAATGTCTAAAACCCTGACATGTGTGCGTCGATGTCGACAGACTCTAATTCCTGGAAAACTCGTCATGCTTTATGAGAATTTAGAAATTCTCTGGTCCAGGACATAACCATTTGACTTGGAAAAGGGGCAAGGAGCTGATTTATGAAACCAATATAGACACGAATGTTAATTACACGATGCGAGCCTTTTCCGTCACCATTCGTGCTCCCCCTCCATGGCCCCCAAACCACTATGGTCCCCCACCCTCCCATGACCCCACCACCCCTTCCTCTATCCCTGTGAATCCAAACTTGGCGCCAATAGAGAACACTCGTGTTATTGTGGTGTGTGGGGCCTGGGTTATCTTGACATTCGACGCTACTTTATGAGGTTCGCGTGTGTTCCCAGGCCAATGTGTTCTTCGGCGCTATGTTTGGTTACTTGAGGATAAAGTGGATTAGGTTTGGGTTGGTTAGACTATGCTGTTTCTACTGTCGACAGAAATCTAGCGTTCGGACGCGCGATATGCTGCGTCACTCTGTATACACACACAGTCCGTCCTCATAAACAAAGGCCAAATGCATGTTGATCCATCCGCCAAACTCCTTTGTTTATGAATGAAAAATGGTTTACACGCGACTCACAACTGATGACGTTCGAACATTTTTCGAACAAGTGCTTTGCTGGCGGCTTCTGTTCGAACCACAACGCTGTAAATGCTTCACCAAAGTACTACAAATACAAATAATCGCCAACAGAACCTAAAATATCTAACCTAACCTATGCCTATATATGCACAATATGATAATATATTATAATATTAATTTATAGTTGAGAATATTCCTGTTTTGAATAAACAGCATGTAAAAATTTATGAATGGGTCTGTGGATTTTTTTTTTTTTTGCAGGGATATTCCTGCAGGGATATTCCTGCACTAAGTGTTGATTGTTTCTGTTTTACTTGGGCGGAGTATGAGTATTTATGACTCTTATGGTCGCTTCAGTAAGATTTTGCCCTCCATGTGTATAGCAACAACTTCTGTTAAATCTAAGTTGAAATCTTAATGGATTTGTAACTCGGCACTGTGTTAGATAATGTTCCAATGGTCTGTCGGGCAGTTCTCCACTGTGCTGACATTTCTTCTGTGGGGTCGATCGCTGGATGTAATGGACTTGAGTCAAGGACGAGTTGATTGTACACAATGTTGATACAGTCACAATTACGGGGCTGAAAATTAGTTACCAAACCCAAACATCTGAAAACAAATGAAGTGACGACTTTTCGATCCGTCTCGAACCACTCGAACCTCAAAAAAAGATTATCGATATATATATACAATCATTTACACATACATATACATATGTATATATAACATTAACAATTGTGTAACTGGCTTCAAAAGACTGTCACTTGCTTAGCTAAACGAACTATGGGGTTCAGTTCCTGAACTAATTATGTGCCTCTGTAACCCTCTCCGCCACCGCCCACGGGATGGGTATGGGGGAGCATGACATATAGAAAGAAATTGAATTGGGCTACTTTATTGGACTGTTATATAATTTATGCCAAAATATTTCAGTGTGATGTAGACTGCTATACCTGTCCAGTCTCAGGTGTGTTGTGCACACTGAGGTGTTACACACACGTGACAAGGAATATACATTTGGCAAGAAATTTCAGCTCGAACTGTGAGACCTTCAAAACAGAAGCGATCTTATCAGTGCCTGTGGAGCAGAGAGGCCTGGCTCCTTGTGCCCCGTCTCTCAGCAGTGGTTCTACATATGTTGACCAGACCACACACTAGAAGGTGAAGGGACGACAACTCCACATACAGATGGTTCTACGTACATGTATGCATGCATACTAGTAGTCATCCATCAGTCTCAGGAGACTATGGAGTTGCGCTCTGGTTGTCGATCTGGAGTGGCCTCTCCACAGCACAAAGCCAGCTTAGGTATATACGAGGTAGAAGCTGTTACCCATGCAGCAAGCCCCCCTCTCCACGGCGCAGAAAGTCTCCAATGGAAAGACAAACGCCAGTCTACATACATGGTGTCTAAATTATTACTATTGATCTTGCATTATGATTCTGCTGTGTGACTAATATGCAACTCTGTGGTACGTGTTGTGTGCAGCTGTGACCCTGCCCAGGCGACACTCGAGGCATGGCGACTGCTGCCTTAGAGACGACAGGTGTTGCGTCACTGGACTCACACCAGAGTGCTAGTACATCATTAGGTTCACAAGAAGTAGATAAAAACATGGTATCTCTCACAGTGGAGTCACAAAGTGGCCAGGAGGAGTCCAGTAGTGACGAACATCTTAACGGTTGGACACGTGTTGGGACCCGGAAAAAGACACAAGGAGCCAACCATTCAATAAATCAAAACAATGTGAAGGAAAGAATCAACCCGCATTTCCCCCCCCGGGCACGGATACTGTGACGAAATATAGATGGTTAGCTGCGGCATGGTTAGCTGCGGCATGGTTAGCTGCGGCATGGTTAGCTGCGGCATGGTTAGCTGCGGCATGGTTAGCTGCGGCAGTCAAAGAACAGCCTGGTGGTGGGTATTTGTTTACAAAACGACGGGTAAAACATGTCCGCGTGAACAT